TAATTCAATAAATGAGAATTAAAAAGCACCAGGGGACCTTCCTTTTAGAAGTAACCCTGCTCTACTTTAGTATATGTGGATTATACTTACAGCAGAGCACACCTACCTGATAGATGGAAGCACAAGTTGGCTGCTACATCGGCCTTAAGTGATGTAGAGAGTCCTTCCTAACCCTTCTCTTCACAGCTTAAACTTGCCCGTTGGTGTTTCCTGCTCTGCCTGTGTGTGGATTTAGCTATGCTTCCATGAGACTACCGGTGAGTTTCCATCTGTCGGATCTCAAATTGACAGAAGTGATAGGGGTAGGAGACTGGAGTGGTTCTTCCTGAGTTATTTTGCTTCCTGATGACAGCTGATGAAAACCTGGGCAATAAAACTGGGAGTCCTTGCTTTCTCACCATCTCAGGCTAAAAGTGAGAAGCCCTAAGAGATGTGTCAACTATAATGTCTACAGTACTGAGTGTCTGTGCCAACTGGGTTTAACAGAACTCAAAAGATGCCTGAGGACAAGCTGATTTGCAGCAAGATCTAAAACCCATCCATGAGATAAACCCCTGGAGAAAGAACTGAAGGACTTGAATGGGTCCTAAACGGCACACAAAGTAGCAACGTTATTTACCCAGTGGTTCTCACCGTGGACAGCATGACAAACGCTTAATGTTTCGGTTCAGTTCTGCTTCATAAATATTGATTGAGCACTGAGCCAGGCTTTGTGGGAAGGATATGAAATGTGATTTTGCAGTGATGTGACTGATATTTATATATTTATTTATTTATTTAAATCCTCACCTGAGGATATTTTTTCCATTGCTTTTTAGAGAGAGTGGAGGGGGGAGGGAGAGAGAGAGAGAGAGAAAAACATCAATGTGAGAGAGACACATTGATTGGTTGCCTCCTCACACGCCCTGACCAGGGCTGGAGATCAAGCCTGCAATCGAGGTATTTGCCCTTAGCTGGAATCAAACCCCAGACCCTTCAGTCTGTGGTCTGATGCTCTAACCACTGAGCCAAACCAGTTAGGGTGATGTGACCGATTTTTAAAAAACATGAATTCCAGGGATGTTTTCCCTTCTCCAAAACTTTCTAACAGCTCTCTTAGAGCTTGCCTTCAGCCTGTAGCATATTTTAAAGATATATGTATATACTATGTATATATAAGTGAGTGTATGTAATATATAGTGTAGACTTAATTTTTAGAATTAGCTAAAAGTTATATGAATAAGTCCTATGAATGAGGTAGGAGTTCAACATGAATACTATTGTGTTAATCTAAAATGATGTGTGATTGTGGAATACTGAGTTTTATTTTTTTGGATGTGGGTCATCAATTTCAGAGGAGGAATTTCACTGATACTGTGTGAAATGCAGTATTATTGCAATAAGTCAGTGACTTCTCAAAATGACCCTGAAGGAAAATACTCATTTAGATGTAAGAGTTCTGATACGTTTATAAAAAGTTCTAATTTTTAGATAGAGAGCCACACCTGAAAAAGGCTGTTAAGCTTTAGGAATCTTCTTCCTGGCTAGGAAGGTGATGTGGAAAAAATGATAGGGAGCAGGAGAAGATAGAGATAGAAAGATAGACAGATAGACAGATAGATGGATAGATGGATGGATCAGTGGTGCTCTGGTGTCTCCTCTTACAGGGACACTAATCCTGCTGGATTAGGGCTCCACCCTTACGACCCCATTTAACCTTAATTATGTCTTCACTCCAATTACAGCGACACTGAAGTTTGAGGAGACACAGTTAAGTCCATAGCACCCTTGGAATACTTACTACACTATATTGTGATAATTCATTTACGTCTGTCTCCAGTGGACTATGGTCTTCTTAAGTGCTAAGCACTATGCTAGGCATGGAGAATCACAAAAATTGATCTTGTCCTCAAGGAGTTTATCATTAATTGTATCAGTTTTCTGTGGCTGCTATAACAAATCACCACAATGTAGTGGTTTAAAACAACATACATTTATTATCTTATAATTCCATAGGTTAGAAGTCTGACACAGGTCTCACTGGGCTCAAATCAAGGTGCCAGCAGGGCTCTGGTCATTCTGGAGGCTCTAGGGGAGAATCTGTTGCTTTTCCTTTTCCAGCTTCTAGAGGCTGGCTGCATCCCTTGACTTGTGACCTCCCTTTCTCCACCTTCAAAGCCAGCAAAGTTGCATCTGTGTGACCACTCTTCTTTAGTTCACATCTCCCTCTGACATGGCCAGGAAAGTCTCTCTATCCTCAGAGAGCATGTGATTAAATTGGACCCATGCAGATAACCCAGCATAATCTCCCCATCCCAAGGCCCTTAATTTCATCACACCTGTAAAGTCCCATTTGCCATTTCAGGTAACATTCACAGGTTCTTGGGATTGGAATGTGTCCACATCTGTTGGGAGGAGCATTATTCTGCCTATCAAGTTAGTGGAGAAGAGAGACATGTAGACTGGAGACAATGCAATGTGTCAAGTGCAATAATGAAAATCTACTCAGGGTGCATATACATGGGAAGTAGAGGAGAGGGTTCAACACATGATAGTTATAAAGAGGCATGGGCAGCAAAAATATAGAGGAGGAGACAGTTCCAGGGAGGTAGAATGGGCATGATTTGACACAGGGGATGAAGGAGAGAGAGAGAAAGGGAATTAGAATCACTTCCAGATTCTGGATTGGGACAGGCGACTTCTTGCTGAAATAGGGAGCAAGTAAAAGAAATACAAATTGAATTAGGTTGGGCAAAGAGGGGAATTTATTATAAGTTTTTGAGGGGAGGCTGGCTCGTGGAACTTCTGGAAGGATTGTAGCTGAGCATCAGAAGTGCACTAGAACGAGGACCCAGGTACCGTCTGGACTGCTCTCTGTTTCCCTTGGCTCCTCTCTTTCTGGCCTTTAATTTTCTTTCTCCAAAGACCAGCATCTTTTGCATCTCTTTTTTTGTTGGCGAAACCCATTACTAATCATTGTTCCAAGATTTTACAGCCCAGACTTTACATATATCATAGTTCAGCCACTCAGACAAAGACAAATCCATCTCTCTCTCTGTTTCTCTCTTTCTCTCCTCTGTCTCCAAATCCATAGTCCTTGAAAAGGGCTCTGATTTCTGCAGCTTGGACCAGGTGTCCCCTGATATATGGGGCTGTGGCCAGGGCACAGTTAGTTGCCCTTCATGGCCTGCTATCTTCATGACGTTCTGGCTACAACCATGTGATGGATGGATGGAGGATCCTTAGAAAAGGTGTGCTGGGCAGGCATGCCAATAGGGATCCGCTTCAGTAGAGAAGATATGTTCAGTATTATTTGTTTTCCTCTCCTACTTAAAAAAAAAGTTGAGGTATAATTTACAATGAAATGCGCAGATCATAAGTGTTGAGTTCTGGCAAACACACCCAGATCACAATATAGAACACTTCCATCACCTCCACGAAAGTGTTTCCCACCCCTCAAAGGCAACCACTCCCCTGATTTCTATCACCATAGAGTAGTTTTGCCTGTTCCATTTGTATACTTTGGCTTCTTTCATCCAACACAGTGTGTCTGAGATGCAACAGAAGTTCACCTCTCTTTGTTGCCGAGATTATTCCACTGTACGCACATACCCCATACTTGTTTATTCATTCACCTTCTGATGGACATTTGGGTGGTCCTTAGTGTTTTGGCTATTATGGACATTTTTATACAAGTCTTTTTAGGGTTGGAGGGAAATCTATAGCATTAAATGCCTAGACTAAAAAAAGATGAGTTCAGTTTTGAGCAAGTTATGTCAGCAGGATGTGTAGGACATTCAGGTAGTGAGGTCCAGGACCAGTGGAGTCCAGTCTGAAGCACAGGAGAAAGGTGGACTAGCATTTCAGCCATGACATGGGGTCACAGCCCTGAGAAAGTCCTCAGGTAGGGCATGAAGCAAGGTAAGGCCCGTGAATTAAATGCCGACAGTTATTGCTATTTGACAAGAGGAATTCTCTAAGGAGACTAAGAGAAGCATGCCCACTTATCTTTGTGTCTCCTTCATCAGACACAGGACCCAACGGCAAGTCTTCTCAGTTTGCTCAGCTTAACTGAATGGGTGCAGAGTACATGGCCATGGTTATTGATGGACCCTGTAGAAGGGGGCAGATTGGGAGGAGAAATGGCGTGAGGAGTCGCAAAGGACAAAAAGAGCTTGGGAGATTGGAGAGGGGTAAGCACTATGGACTCCACCTTAGCTCGGGCGGGAGGGAAGACAGAGCCAATAAAGCTGGATACTTAGGTGGAGTGAGACCACGCAGGGTCTAAATGGATGTCAGATCGGAGAATTTAGACTCCAGCAGGCCAGCCACCCCGGGGAGCGCCGGGTCCGGGGCAGGGCGTGAGAACACGAGGTGTCCTTTGGGAACTGTACTCTGGGGCGGGGCACGTGCCCGCTGCCGCCGCTCCCG